GATATCCTGCAAAGTAAATTCCTGTTATTGGTACTGAATTGCCAATGGGGTGATAAAACAATATAATTTTCAACCAAAAGAATGCACTACCCATCAGATATTAAGCAGTAAATCAGCTCAAGAAAAAAGGGCATGGAATCCTGACCAGATGATTAAGTTCCGGTATAAACTGCAGGTACCACAAACTCAAGCCAATACAACGATATGCGAGAATCATGTGGAGATGATGAGAGACGAAATAAAAGGAAACTCACAGGAAGTGCAGATCATGGTGTGTGAGAGAGAGGGAAAAGGACCTGTAGGTCGAGCAGATGCCGTCGGAATCATCAAAACCAGAGAGGAGGACGACCTGGACGAAATTTCAACAACAAAAAACTCTGCAAATCTGAAGTATCACAATGAAATTTTGTCTGTTGTCTTAATCTGTACATTACATGACCAATGCATAATAGTACCCTATCTTCTTCTAAATGGCTCTTGGGATTTTTTTAGAGTGTAGACCATTGAGATTAACTAAATTATCTCGCAATTCCATTAGAGACGACAACAGCAGCAAGAAAGCATCATAGTTCAAGTTATGCAACTACCAACCTGTGTTTTATTGAAGCAGAAGAAACTTAGCTTAAGTATATAATCTTACAACTTCCTTAGAGACTACAGAAGCAGCAAAAAGCATCATGGTTTAGGCTTTGCAACTACCAAAATGTGATCTCATGCGAAAAAAGGACAGTAAATTGTTCAGCTTAGCTTCATGTTTCAGCTTACACAACTACCAAAATGCCCGTCTAAGCCATTGTTTAATGCTTTCAGAAAAAGGATTACGAGAAAGGTCACCCATTAATGTGATTCAGATTCAGCCTACCACAAGGTCAGAGAAGTTAATCGTCGTTCACGTTGGCATCATCCGCTGCACCGTTTTGCTCCTGCGGTACTGTTTTTTTTTATCTAGTTTCCTCTGTTATGCTCCAGGCTTCATTTTGCTTTTGAAGATTGCAGATAGCAGAGCAATTAGCTAAAGAGATTAACGATGCAGATCCTAAACTAGCAGTGCTAACTGCTGACCGATGCCAATAAATTAAGTACCACTATTTTTTTCCCCAAGAAACCCACAAACATTTAGCCTAAGCATCAAATTCGTCACCCAAATTACCCAAAACACATAAGAACAACAGTTCAGAATTCAGTACATGCTACAGCACCCAGCGGCAATCAAATTTAAACATCCATAGTGCATACTCCATAGGCACTGATCCTAATAAAGATATCTTGCTAGCCTGCTATACTGTAAAAAAAACATGCATTTAAGTTAGATCCGCCCATGAATACATGTAAGGATCCATGACAACCAAAACTGAACCAAGCTTTTTCTACTTCATTTTGAACCTCAATCAAAACAAGACTTTTCCTTTTTGAAACTCAATCAAACCACGAAAGATTGACAATGTGAGGAAGTGAGGAAGAGGAATTGAGGACTTACCATATTGGAGGCTTGGAGATGGACGAGATGAGCAGTGAACTGACACGCCCGCCAGCCACTGCAGAAGACACCTCGCCGGCGCACCCAACATTGCGGAGGCTGCCCGAGCCCGGGCCTCCATGCCGGCGCCGGCGCGGCGCAGACGGGAGGCCTGGCCCCGCGAGACGGAGAGATCCGTCACTGCCACAGATCGGGGGCGTGGGTATGTGCCAAGGGCCGACCCTCGTCATCGCCGACGTTTTCCGTGTGGCCGCGGTATGGCTAGCATCCGCACCAGCGGAGGGGAGAGGATGCAGGGGTGAAGAGGAAGCAGTGGCGGCGGCGTGAGGCAGAGGGGAAACGAGAAGAGGAGAGGTTGCGTATGGGGATGGAGAGAGCTTGGAGTGCTGGGCTGGGCCGAATAAGGTGTTTCCTAACTGGTTGTGCGCGCAACGCCAATCACAACCGCTGCTCCAACATATGGATCCGGGCCCTTTGCATGTGCATGCCCCTCTGCCTTTCTTTTCTTTCCTATAGACTGACACATGCATGGCTATAGTACACCTGCATGCCTAGGTTGTTTTTCCTCTCTTCAAAAACTTTGTTACTTTTAGTTGTCTTTTAACAGTTTAATCAAAATTTGTTTTTCAAACTTTATATATATTTGAACTCCTGACACCAAGTTATTCAATTTAACATATTTTTTAACTGGAATTGAAATATGATTTTTTTTAGAAGATTATCAGTGTTTTCAGTGAGGAACTTTGCTTGGCATAGTGAAGAACTTCTCATTTTCATTTGCAAAGTGATAAATAAACTGGACCAGGAGCTGAGGAACTTTATAAATAGGTTTTCTGCACTTTATTCTAAATATTAAAGAACTTCTCTAGAAAATGTATCTGGAACCGAAGAACTTTATGAACAACTTGTCTAAACTTTGATGAAATGTTTATGAAACTTTTTTAGAAATATATCAATATTGGACTTGTTTCGTAGAGCTAGCCGTGAGAAACTCAAATACATAAACGAATTCAAATTTGCATAGTTTATTTAGAAGTTATGGTGATATATTAACTTTGCTAGCAAATATGGTGAAGTAGCCCATCACCGATGCCTTGTGTACCTTGTGTCAGATTTCTAGTATAGGACCTATTGATGTTGACATGCATGCATGAGACCAGCTGCATGTTGATTTGACGTCTAGGATGGATGGGTGGATCAGATATACGTTGCGCGCGCAATGAGCTAGTAAAAATCCGCTTCCGGGCTGGGCCGCGTGCATGTGGCCTCCTTTGCTGTGCCCAGCCAATTTTTTTTATTTTTTTTGAAACTGCCCAGCCAAAATTATTGATCGACAAAATAGTGTCATCACTCCCCATTGGCTGCGCTGCACAGTCCGCCTCTTCCCACGTGGCATGCGCGAGCGAGCGCCCTTTGCGCGATGATAAATGTGTGCGATGACCAACTGCATGTGATCCACTCAGTTTTTGTCTGTTTGGCGCTTTCCATATGCTGCATCATCGTTTGGAAAGATGCTTCATGAGCGGCGGGAATCCTATGAAAATTGGGGCCGCCAGCTGCGCGTGCTCCACGACTCTGTTGGATCCACTCAGTTCTTTTTGTCTTTTTAGCACCTTTCATTCATATGCTGCATCATTGTTTCAAAAGATCCTCCATAACATAATGTAGTATCACTTGGTCTGGGCTTTTGGTGTGCTCATCCTCTTCTTGTGCTTTTGATGAAGGCGGAAGGCAAATACAAAGATGAAGACTCCATCCAACAGTAATAACGAAGTGCCAAAATGATTTACACCATAGACGTGTATAAACACCGTGACACGAAAATAAACAAGTCCCAACACGACCTCTCCGCATTGTCAGTTCTATGGCAAGAACGCGGGCGTCTTTCTGACCATGGTAACCTGCTCGAAGGCATACGCCATCTCGATCAGCCTCAGCTCGTACCCTCTCAACCCGCCAAAGCAGAGACCAGACGGCACCCCCAGCTTGCCGTACCCAGCCGGCACGGTGATGGCCGGCATGCCATCAATGGCGAGCACTGAGGATACTGCATTATTAGGTGTCACGATGGCGTCTAGCTCGTGCTCCCTCATCAACTTCTTCAACCCATTGGCGGACAGCTTGTTTAACTGACTGGTCGCCTCTCGCTCCGAGGCACCGATGCCCGTTGTGTTCTCAGCCACCAGGAATACGGTTTGACCATTTTCCTTCATGTTTTCCTACAACGCATGGAATTATCACAAGTTAAGTTGCACTTGTTTTGTAACTGCAAAGGAAATATGCATCATAATGAGAAACAAATACATGAAGAATAATAATTAACTCTAAATCGAGCTGACCTCAACAGGATGTGCATTGTTGAAAGCTATGATCTCTGCAAGCGACCGAACTGGGGAATATAATAAGTTTGACAGATAGGAGTTGAGGCTTAACTTGAACTCTGCTGGTAATGCGATCTGTTGGCCATTGTTTTGGGAATCCAATAGGACACTTAAATTCTCTATGTCAAGGTTCTCAATCACAACTGCTCCTTGTTTCCTTCAAACAAAACAAAAATATACAAGTTGATGTGATATGACACCTAGATGGTACATGTTTTTATTTCCCCGAAACAAACTAACCAATAACTAGGGGCATTGTGCCTCTCACAATGAAGAGGCCAAAGTATTTCACTTCCTTGAAAAATATAAACATAATAAAATTAGATAGTTTGTACTTTATTCATATGGGGTCACAAGACTCATTTATCAAGTCATCGCTCGCAATTATTTAAGGGTGCCCTTTTAAAAAAAATGCATATATGATTTCATGCAAATACAATATGGAAATATAATTCATGATAGATCTAGTCAAATCGATGTAATACTGTAAGTACTGATTTTTTTCAATAAGTTAGACAGACATAAGATAAATAGCCTTATAAACCCAGACAGAGGAAGTACCTCATTGTGTTGAGGTGTTGCGCGTAGGCCATCTGTTGCACAGTCCCATTTGGGAAGTTGAAGAAGCCACTAGGAACACCGATCCTCTTCCCACCAAGGCCACCTTTTTTCAAGAACTGCATGTATCCACCATGAGGGATGTACTTGGAAGCTTCCATCGTTGGAGTAGCGTCCCGGGCATCATAGCCGACGATGGCGTCCAGCACGTGGACTGCATCAGCCACCGTGTGGCAAATCGGCCTGTTGTTGATAAATGTCAATTCCATTTGTTTAACATGGCGTAAATTTCTTTGACAAATCAGTGCAAATAAAACAACGGCCATGAGTTTGAGCTGCGTATCGTAAAAATAAAGCAAAAGAATGTTGTATATACAGGAATAAGAAAAAAAA